ATTATACCAAGGTGGTTTTCAGGATTTGATAATTTTCCAGGATACTAGACCTCATGATCGACCTGGAAACATTATGATCTGGATTTTTTAGAAGGTTTCGGTTGGGTGAAAATTTATCCAAGACAAACTCAATTAGAAAATGTTCTAGTGATTCAAAGGGGTTTTAGACCGAGAAGGATTATCGAAAATGAATTTATGATTCACAGGTTTTCGGAGGTAATTCGACGAAGGGCGAATTTCTTCGAGTAAGAAATTGAGGAGTCGTCTTTTCGAGGTGAGTGTAAAATGGGGTAAAATCTATGCCGATATTTTAAGGTTAATTTTTATGAATTCAAGCTTTGAGTTACGAGTTATAATTAATCGAGATGCATGTAATGTGATGTGTATTTTTGAGGTACTTCACCGCCTAATGAAGGTGAAGGTGATGTGTATGTGATGAGTGAGTGTTTGTAAGGAAAGGAAACCCCCGGGTGGTTGGATCACTACTTGATAGCGGTACGATACGAATCAAAATGCGGGTAATGTCCTACGAGGTTGTGGCACTGGACGTCGAATCAAAACGCAGGTCATTTTCTTGGAGGTTATGACACCGGACGGCGATACAAACGCAGTGGTTATAGGTTAGGGAGTGTCTAGTTTTTTAGGTTTTGGGTGGAGAGTAATGCCAACTCCCACGATTTCATTTAAAGGATATTGTTAAAGGAAGGGAGTACAACTCCCGCAAAGTAAAGGCGAATGTTTAAGTTTATTATAATGCTTGAGTGTTTAGGGTGGCAAGTAATTACACAAATTTGTAAGGTGAATACTTAAGGGGGAATCTTAATTGCTCTGAGGTCTTAGTAAGGGCGTAGACTAACCCCTTCTCACTCACCAGGTAGAGGAAGGGTTAGAGGGAGAGCAGCTCGAGAGGAGATAGTCCGAGAAGAGCAGCAACATAATCAGTGAAGATGTCTCGTGAAGGATCACAGTAAGGAGTTGTAGCTAGAACTGTTTAGTTGTTTCGTTTCACCATTATGAGTATAAACTGGAGATTCATAGTTTTTGCTTTTTGATTTATGGATTGAAGTTGCCCAACTGTTTAGGGATTTACATTGGAATTGTAAGGAATGATTCAGTTTTTGTTTCCCTTGTTTTTAATTTACAATAAATTTTTGATCAAGCTTAATTGTACACTTTTTATCCCCGTTTTCCTTAGGCCTTTAATGAATTTGCACTCTGAGAGGTTTGGTTTTATCCAGGTTTTCCCTTGCTTTAGCATGTTTCAGACTCAAGCAGGTGGAACCAACCCTGGAGTCGGAAGTTGGACGAAAGGACACAAAATCAGGTCAAATGATGGAGGCGACCGTAGATCACGGTAGAAGTAGATTGTTCACAGTCAGAAAGACTATGAACTAAAGCCATTAACCGTTAACAGCCATGCGTCTAGAGCCATTTTCTGTCTTACTCGACTCTAGTCAGTTACGGTCGTAAGACCGTGAACCCAGGCCAGAGACCGTGAAGAGATTAAATGATGCGGTGCATTTTTGTTCGAGATCACGGTCCCCGCCATATGTTCACGGGCGTGAACTGGGATCGTGAATCGAGATTGACCTAGGTATAAAAAGATACTTGAGTTGAAAGAGTGGGTGGAGGGAGACCTTGAGTGAGAAAACCTTCTTCTTCAACATTCTACAGAGAGAAAGTGACGAGAGAGAAGGAATAAGAGGCTACGGTTTCACTCCAAGGCAAGGAATTGGGAAATTCTTCCCTAGAGGAAGATCTCTACTACACAAGGAAGGACTCAAGCATCTCCATGATGTTTCTTTTCCTTCTCATTGTGTTTTTCCCTCTCCTAACATCGAGTAGTGTCCCTTTTCACTTGGGTGTTTGTGAACCCTAACTTCTACCATGTGATTGATTGTATGGAATGATATTTTATGTGTGGGTGTGATTTTAAAATGAATTAGGAGGTATTTTTATAGAAGATTGTGTTGTGTGTTAGCCTATCAATCTATTTTGCCATTCTAACCTAGGTAGAGAGAAAATGCCCTTTTTGTGAAAGAGGCTTGTAAAGCTGGGTTTTCTTAGGCAAATCTTGTATCCTACCTAGATTAATGTAGGACAACCCTCCTTAATGGTATTAGCACGTAGGTTGGTTGTGTTTTGGTCGTCCGAACTCTGATTCAAGAGAGAAGGTTAGACAATCCTTAGTCGATTAGGCCAAGAGAGCTACCTTGGTAGATTAATCCGAATTCCTTGGCCTAGAGACCGAGAGAGTTATGTTCCATCACTAGCTGCACTTCCCTTGCGGTTCACAACCACCTCCACCACATGTTTTCGTGCATTCCGACAAGTCATGGTAGCTAGTTAGGGGGAGCTACACCCGAGTGAATCCTTCTCATTTAGAGTCAAAACCAATTACCTTTACAATCATTTTAATTGTAGATCGTAGTTTCCAACAAACAACTAATCGCTATAGAATGTTGCAAACAATTGAAGTAGGGGTACATGGACCGGCCCGGGTTGATATTTAGACATACTTGCCATATATTGCACCCAATTAAGTTTTATACTTGGGCCCTAATTGGGAGTTTTGTTGTGATATTCGGGACGAGTCAATTTTACTCTGCTCCGGAGCAACAGTTCTATATTTTTGGTTTACAAGATGAGGATGTTACAAAACTATTCTCCCAATTACTGGCCAACGCAATGAAAGGGTTCATTATAGGGGAAGTAAAGTAATAAATGTCACCCTGGGGTGCTAAGTCTACTATTACTTTTTGAAATTATCTATTATCTAGTTAACAGGTTGTGATGTCAATTAACAGAAGCTGATGAAACAAAACAAAGTAAATTGATCCGAATTCAAGTATGAAAAAGTCACTTATGGATTATTCCCCCTAATTGCTTATTTGGAAAATGTTGTTTACTTCTCATAGATTGATTGACTCAAAACTTTCACCGCAGAGAGTCCTATAATAGCTTGGAATCTCGACTAAAGTATTACCAAGCCCTCCTGACATAGAATACCTAGAAGAAGACTATCCTCAATTGGAATAGGCTACCAAGGCAAATAATCTCACTACTGAAATGAAGTCCAGTACAACGCAGTGAATCGATTCACTCTCGTGTTATAAATTCACCATGTCCAATTGAAGGTGCTCTATTGACTTAATTAGGCATTCTCTATCCTAGGTCAAAGCACAATTGAAAGAATGTGATAAGACTCATGTAATTCCTAAACATACTCCACTTAGATAAATAGCAAAGAGTTCAACAATCATAGGGTTCAAACATCAATCATCCTAACATATAGAACTAGGCTTCCTCACACCCAAGTGAGAGAGAGTTTACTCCATTGAGATGAGTGAAAACACAAGATAACCGGGAGAAATCATCGTGTAGACTTCAGAAATTTGCTTCTCCTTTTCGTTCGTTAATCCTCAGTGCTTGGCTTGAGCTCCAATGGTAGTTGGATGGCTCTAGGACGCTCCATGAATGGTTTCTTCATCACTTCTCTCTCTAGGATCTTCTCGGCTCGTTTTTCAGTCTAAACTGTATCCCTTTGGACTTGGTCGCCCAAAGCCACTTATCTCTTATTATGCGCGACTCACGGTCGACATCAACCCAAAATGTAACGTGTCATTGGGTTGGGGTGTCGAGGTCACGGGCTTGTTGCAAATGTCATTGTCATGGCCATTACTAGTGAATGACTAACCGTGACGTAGAAAATCTTCCTAGAACCTTGCATCATGTCACAGGCTCGATGATTAATGTCACAGCCGTTGTCGTGACTTTGGGTGGTAGGTCGTGACTCAAAAAATTGATATGGAACTTCGTGGAATGTCACACTCTTCTTGTTGTATGTCACAACTCTGGTCGTGACTTGTGCACCTAGGCCATGACTTCTGCTATCTTTGTACCATTTTCGCCTTTAAATGTCCCAAAAATCGTTCATAACTGATAATCACGGACTATGATATGAATTATCACAAAAGAAGCACAATCTAGCGTAAAAAGGCTAAAGAATCAATCCTAACCAAGCTAAACGATGAAGAAATAAGGCTCGATATATGTATAGTTTGTCGGTATCACTATTTCAGGTTAAAAAAAAGGACAACATGACCACATGAATGATTAGACAAATTACTAAAAATGAACACGCGCCTCGGAAGTCATCAATTGTGCTTAGAGCGCCTAAACAAGATCTTTTGCGCCTAGACAAAACATTAATAACATTTAACCTCATTCACCTAGTATAAATAGAAACGTGAAACTCGGAGAAAGGCAGACATTAATACTAGCATTTCACAAAGAGTAATCTAAACATTCCCAATCGAGGTTTGAGCCAGCCTCTTACTTATACTGCTTCCTCGAATTAGTGAGGGCAATGAGGAGGGACGAAACAGGTACCTTAATACCCATATTCACCCCACATTAAGTGCGGGTCATGCCAGGTAATACACACACGGGTACAGGGCGAGACATGTAACCCATCCTAATTTTATTTATATATTTTTTTAAAAACAACGTTGATATTTAACTCTTTTACATTGACACTTAAATAAAACACAACATAAATGAATGAGAAATATTATAGAGAAAATAATTGAGTCTAAATTGTTGAAAAATAGTCTTACAATTTCATTAGAATAAAAATATAATTTTAGAAAGCTCAAAAGATGAGAAATACTGATAATTATTATTCAAATAATTATAGAACAAGTCAAGAATAAAACGTTAACATAATAGACATATCAGAAACAATATCCATGATCCGTCTCATACTACTGATCAGAACGAGACATTTTACAATGCTATATAGTATTGGTGCAATAGGTTTTTCTTTTTATGGTACAACTTAAAATTGTACATTTACGTTATGGTACAACTTCAGATTATACCTATACTTTTTGTACAAATTCGTTTATGGTACAACTTGAACTTGTACTTTTATTTGATGGTACAACTTCAAGTTGTAAAATTATACCGTCACATAATGATACAAATTGCTTTATGATACAAAACTTATACATTTAATGTTAGGATACAACTTTAAGTTGCACATTAAAGCACCAATGCTATCTTTAAGTTGTACATTAAAGCACCAATGCTATATAGCATAGTAGAAATGCTCGATCAGAACATGTCAGGTCTCACAATCATGTCGGAAAATGCCATCACACTCCAAATCCACTCACTGGGAAATCCTCTGAAAAGTTCATTCATTGTTGAACCATCCCTCTACCTATCAACCTTTCTCACCCAGTCAACTCGAACCACCCTGAGCTAAGAGCCTCTTTTGCGGCCACAAACCCACAAATCAAACCGACTCAGTCGAACTGGCCTCTATTATTATGAATCAAGAGTACAACAGAAAACGATCAAAACAACCAATTCTGAAATAGTTCAAAATTTTGAGAACCACCAAACTTGGGAGAGCTTGACTGAATACCGAAGAAAGACCTCTCTTTCAATCAACAAATAACATATGAAGAATCGAGCAATTCCACATTTGTCCCTACGCCTACGAAATGCTCCCAGAACCTCCACGCAATGAAGCTTTTTGGTGTGGGAAGCTTGCGGTACTTCCATTTTTTGCCTCCTATTTAAGAGTCTCCTTATCCTTTCCGCAGCACCTTGGATTTCAACATGAACAAACTCAAGTCAAACATCAAGAGAACAAAGACAGTTTTTGGGACCGTGCAAGTGAGAATTTGTATAATAAGGAAATGGGAGTATTCATAGGTCTCTAGCTGCACAGAGAACAAGGTAGACGGTTCAAGTAAAAAGTCTTTCACTGTGTGTGCACGATTATAGGTGCCTGATTCATAAGAATAGGTTTAAGAAGCTGGTAATGGAAATAGAAGATCAAGCTTACTTTTTGAATCTCTTCTTGGAACCACATGGACAGAAAGCGTTCCTGCTGATCTGCCCACTTTTAGCCAGATTAGACCTAGCAAGATCCATCGGTGTCTTCCCCATGAGGTTCTGCACCTGTATCACCACTCAAGTTCTTCAGTAAACATAAGAGGAAGGTCAAGCAGAAGAGACGATTAAGGCGACACGGATAAGAGGACGGTCAACTGATCATCAGCATTCCTAGGAACCTCTAGAGCTTAGTTATCTAACCATGCTCTTGAAATACTTATACAAATATGCAGCATATGCATGAATACACGGAACAATCAAGAGCAATTATCAGAGTTCGACTACCTAAATCTCACTGAACGACCAGCAATGTCAGTAAGCTCGGCTGAAACAAGAACATAGCCCAAAAGCAGTTTACCTCAGCAAGGCTCTTGGGCATCGGTTTCCCTTCTGCCTTTAGCTTGTCTAGCTTAGTCTGTGCTTCTCTGGCCCAAGTGAACTTCGACAGAGCGCTCTCAACCTCAGCTATCGTGCAATTACAGTGCTTTGCCGCTTCTTGCTTGTGACTTGTTTGAAGGTTCTATACATCAAGCAAACCTAAACCAATATTCAAACATCCTAAACATAAAACCAAAGATAAAGACAGCAATAACACTTGAACGCCACAGAAATCTCTAGCAAAAGACGTTAATTTCGGAATGGGCACTGCAAATTTCTGTTCTCATTAAGGGTTAAAGAGTAAACATTTGAAAGCTACATCGCTAGTTTGGTATCAAATGAGCGCTATATGCATTTCAAGAAAGTTCTATACTCGGGGAAGGCTGCAATGGAAAATGCCACAAAGGAAAACCAACCTCTCCAGTAGCATCAAAAGCGCTGAGATATCTAATTACAGCCTCCATCTTCCCAAAAGCATCTGAGAAAGTCGCCTCACTGCTCCTTCCCACGATGTACTGCTTGAACGAGCCAACTTTCTGAGCCTTCTTCAGCTCATCGGCAAAACCTGAAACCCACAAAAAAAAAAGTTGATTTTTGACTTTCCACGGAAATCCCACTCACCAATTCGTTACAGTAAAACGCGAGGTGAAGAGAGAGAGAGGGGGAGACTCAACGAGTCAGCGTGAACGACTGGGCGGTTTCCTTGGGCTCCTCTTCCTTTTTTCCCTTGAAGACCCCTTTGATCGTATCCATCCACGAGCTTCGAAGAGCGGTGGAGGAGATTCCACGGTGGAGGAGTAGGAGATGCCGCTGCTGCGGTGCCGGCAAACCACTCCGGCGGTGGCACTGGCATACGGGGGCCAAGGTGGTGAAGGGTTCAAGATTTTGCCTCGAGGTCCAGCGCAGCAGTGTCTTCCTAACAGGATGCATTTTGTAGGTTTTCTTTCTTAAACCTCTTTACAAAGTTCAGGGTTGCAGCCTTGCAGGAGATGAAACATACGATTCCGATGATCGAATTCTCGTACAGAGACTTTGCTCTGATTCCGATCTAGGGTTTATACTTAGGAGAAAGGGGTTTTGATCTGGTACTCGTTGGCTTTTGCTGAGACTCTCTAAACGCCGCGTTTTCTTGGTGGGCTTAAGAAGTAAGGGATGAGAGGGTTGAGAAAATGTGCGGTCAGGTCATATATTTGGTCTACGGTTCAAATTTCAAATTGAGAGGCTGGAGTATAGACCAGAGACCAACCACATACTATATAGTTTAGATTAGACCACGTCTGTGCAGATTGGTACAGATAGATCACATCGAATAAAAAATAAACAATTTGTTTAGTCAACCACACAAAAACTTATATCAATAACCGAGAAAAAAATCTTTTTTTTTGTCTTAAAACATACACTCCAACATGCATTAAATCTCAATAAATAAATAAATACAAATTCAAAGCATCTCAACTTGCACCATAACGCTATAAACATTAACATAATGTCATATAGAGACATGATCATCTCTACTCTCTAGTGAAATGTGCTTGTGAATAAAAGAGGGGACGAGTTTCTCAAAATTAGGGTGAGAGTTGGGTCTCATTAGAGAAATTGGTAGAGTGGTTAAGTGGGCTGCTAACAGATATTGGGAAGTCGTCTAGGTATACGATTTGGTACGGTAAACTGCGGTCTAGACCCTACCAGACCAATAAATCAAAATATCATATAATACAGACTATGGAATAGACCACACCATTCTTATCGGTCTACAGTCCGGACCTAACTGTGCGGTTTGGTTTGGTCCATGGTTTTTCAAACGGTCTAGCCTATTATTCCAGCCCTAGATGAGACTACACGTAAGGGTGGGCAACGGACGGGTCGGATGGATTTTGAACAAACAATTAATTCATCCACTCTTCAATGGATTGACAAATTTACACCCCTAACCCATCCACAGGTACTCATGGTTGGATCGGACGGATGGCTTATGGTGGATGATGCAATTTGATATGCGAATTCACCCACGAGTCTACACTAACTACACATACAAAATGCAAAGCTATTAAATTTACAGAATCGCTAAACGTCGCCCTTAAAATTTCTACGATTGTCCTGACTCAAATATTAAATTATCTATATACCCCTAATTAAATTTCAAATTCAAACAACCAATCAAGCCCTAAGAACACCCACAATGGTGTGGGGGGTGGGGGGGGGGGGGAGAGATGGGTGGGTTGGGTGAGTTTTTGGGTTTGGGTGGGAAAACCCACAATGGGTTGGGAAGGAAAAAGTGGGAGGGGTATTTTTTATGAAATTAATTTAGTGTTGATTTTGTCACTTTCCATAAATGATTTTATCGTTCTTTTTATATAAGTAGTTGTAATTAATAAGAGAAACATTGTGATATAATTTTTTTCATTTGCACATAATGTTTTTTTGTCATTAATTAAATATGATGTTATCAATGATGAAATGACAATAATGTTGTAGAAGACCATGATTCATCACATGACGTTATCATTAAAATATGTCTATTGTAATTCAATTATGATCGCTAGATATTGTTGGCTATTAGGGTTTCACGCTCCGTCTTTTTCGGAGTAGCGATTTCACAAAGCGCGCCCCTCTTGATCTCGCATGGTGGCCCCGCCGTCGGGGAGACTGCTGTCGGGCCGGAAGGACACAGAGATGACGACAGGGAACCAATGTCCTCCTTATGTCACGTCCTTGTCGAACAAGTCTTCGGACAAGGAAATGCAGCATACGTGGAAAAGGGCCAAGCGCTCGAGTGTAACCCAGCTATTTGATTCAGAGGCCATGGTCGATGACTTCCCGGAGATCCCATCTGAGCATGGCTCTGATCGTACACAGCAACGTGATGGGCAAGCCAACCCGACCCAACGACACAAAACGAAAAGATGAGTTTCTCTAAACTGATGTCGGACGAAGTGTGGTATGTGGCGGAGTCCGATACAGAGGATGTCCATGAAGCGATGAGGGAAGATGATATCGTTGACAAAGTTCCTGACAAGGACGATCCCCGATGCCCTCCTATCCCTTTCAAGGCAATGGAAAAAGCTCGTTATCGACGGGAATGGAGATCTGTGCCTATTGTCAAGGTCCTTGGCCGGACCTTCCCATTCCCTGTGTTGTCAAAATGACTTGAGACACTTTGGGCAAAACATGGTAGTTTGCATAAATCTAGCATGTCGTTTGGTTTCTACGTGGTTCGTTTCACTAGTCAGATGGACTACGAGTAGGCTGCTGCTGGAGGACCTTGGATAATTTGGGGCTACTATCTAACGGTTCGTCCATGGAGGAAAGGGTTTGATGCTAAGTCTGTTGAGATGGCCTCGACGATGGTATGGGCTCGTTTTCCACAGCTTTCGCTCGAGTTCTTCGATCACGAAGCGGTAGAAAGAATTGCCCAAATAATAGGGAGGCCAGTTCGGGTTGATAAGGCCACACTAACAAGAGAGAGAATGCAGTATGCACATGTATATGTGGAGGTCGACCTAACTAAACCGCTTCTTGATAGCTACCTAATTGAGGGGAAGAAATATTACATCGAGTATGAAAGTCTCCACAATATTTTTATGGAGTGTGGTAAGTATGGGCATGCTAAAGCATCCTGCCCTCACTCTTTCGACCTGCTCCACCAACAGCTACGGAGAAGTCACCTCGCACTGAGTACATATCGGTGGTGCCTACCACTGCACCTGAACCGGTCATTGGAAAGTGGATGGTTGCTAAACCAAGGGAAGGCAAGCTAAGAAACAGGGAAAGGGCTCTCGGACTGCTAAATCAGTTCCGACCGAGAGTAGCAACAACTCCGGGTCGAGATTCGAATCGTTATCCGAGGAAAATGGGGATGTTGACATGGAAGTGGGCGGTGTTGTACCAAAAGCCAACAACACAACTGATGATACAGTGGACGTCTCCACCAAGTTTTTGCTACTGAGCAAAGCTAGGGAGGCACCTCGTTGGAAGCCGATGGCCAAAAACCCTCTGCAAGGAGGTAAAAGGAAGACAACGAACAAGGAGGCCTCGGTGGGGAAGAAATATACAGCTAGCTCCCTAGCTAAGTCGATGTCTGCTCTGTCGGGTAAGGCTCAGTCCCATGCAACCCTAATCAAAGGGACTCTGGGTACCAGTTCTCATACCGATCCGGGGGTGAACGGCCTTAAACCTCTGGGCATGAGTTTGTGGTCGGGGAAGCAGCACAATGATTCCTGCTTTTCTACTTAATTACAGCGTTGCAACGCGTGTGCCAGGGAAATTATTTTCTATCTTTCCCAATTTAATGTTAAACATTTTGTCTTGGAACTGCCAAGGGGGAGGGCACAATGAGTTTATCCCTTTTCTTTTGAGTTTTTGTGGGTCGGACAAACTCGATCTTGTATTTATTTTAGAACCAAAAATAAGTGATGATGTCACTGAGCACGTGATCTCTCGCACTTGTTTTGACGGTTGTCTATTGTGGATTTTGTAGGTTTCTCCGGCGGAATCTGGGTTTTCTGGCAGCGCAATAACATCAAGGTGTCATCTATATATGAGTGGGAGCAGATGATTCATATAGAGTGTACCAAACTCAGTGCTTCGAACACAGCAGTGCTCGTTTCAGCACTATACGACAACCCTAATGCTTCCCGACGTGAGGATCTATGGACGGAGGTTCGGAGACTTTCAGGGTCCATCTCGTCCTCGTGGGTGTTGGAGGGTGATTTTAATAGCATTCTCACCCCGACAGACAGAATGGAAGGTTCAAGTTTCCATGAGGAGCGTACGTGCTACTTCTGGCAATTCATCAATAATTGTGGTTTGATAGATATTGGCTTCATGGGGCCGCGGTTCACCTAGAGGATAGGAAACCTTTTCCAACAATTAGACCGAGCTGTATATAATCAGGCCTGGTTTTAGAAATACACAACTGTTTGTACCCGTCACTTGGAGCTCTCAAAGGGATAGTCGAGATGGAGACAGACCGTTCATGTTTCTCGCATTCAGGTTTGGGCACAACAACTTTCCTGAGTTGCTAGACAATTCTTGGAAAGCTGTAGGCTTCTTCCCCATCCAACTCGGCCAGTTCTTCACGAGTTTACAGAAATGGAACCAAGAGGTTTTTGGTAACATCCTCCATCATAAGAGTAAACTGTGAAGGAAGCTAAAGAGATTAGAGATTCAGAATGAGACCCATGCATCACCAATGTTGGAATGTGAGGAGAAGGAGACGCGGAAGCTTCTCGAAGAGATGCTATAGCTAGAAAATTTGCTCTGGTTGCAAATGTCTAGAGTTTCGCATATTATCGAGGGGGACAGGAAAACCAAGTTCTTTTACCTATCAACGCTGAAAAGAAGACGCTTCAACCAAATTCTGGGACTCTGTACATCTGCAGGGATCTAATTATTTCTGCTTGTTTTTCATGGCTGAGCTGGGCGTCGCACCTCGCCTTCCTGTTGGTTTCGAGAAGATTAGCCGACGGGAATGTGAAGGATTGTCACTTCCAATTGCAAAAGCGGAAGTTTGGCAAGCACTCAAAAGCATGTGAGGTTTCAAAGCTCTAGGGAAAGATGGCTTTCCACTGGTGTTCTTCCATAAGTGTTGGCAGAAGATCTCTTCTTCTTTCGAGCAGTTTGTGGCAGGCTTCCTGGAGGAAGAATCTCATCAGTGAACTCCACCCTGCATTTCCTAATAACGAAGAAGGAGAGCACGAAATCCATCATGTAGTTCTGTCCTATTGGTTTGTGTAACGTGGTTTACAAGACCTTTGCCAAAGTCCTTGTGAACCACATTAAGCCTCTTATGAGAAACCTAGTCCACCTGATCCAAACAAGTTTTGTCCCCGGACGTCACATCACTGATAATATTATCATATTGTAGGAGGTTGTCCACTCTATCAGGCTTAAGAAGGGGCAGAAGGGACATATGGTGCTGAAGATTGACTTGGCTAAGGCCTATGATAGGTTAAGCTAGGAATTTAAGCGGGAGACAATGGAGTGAGTTGGCCTCCCGAACAAGTTGCTAGAGGGCTTTATGTAGTGCATGACCTCAACCTCGATTCAGGTACTGTGGAATGGCGACTTAATGGAGGAGTTCATGCTCTCCGATGGGCTGAGACAGGGTTGCCCGCTCTCACCCTACATGTTTACCTTGTGCATGGAACGGCTAAGCCATAGAATTGAGCGTACGGATGCAGAGAAGAAATGGAAGCCTATCCGTACTTCCCTAGGAAGCCCTCCTC